GATGCTGTGTAACCACATCAAAAATGAGTAGCTTGGAACAGTAGCATTTACCTTTCTCCTTCACATGTCCACGGTGGCCAGTTAGCTGTGTCTCAGCACAGAGGTTAGACTGGGCTATGCTTTAGTTTCTGGGTTCAATCTAAGTCCAATCATCATTTCTGGGAGTAGCAGCAACTCAGAGCATATTCTTCTCACACTGAATGGCAAAAATTCAAAAGTAAAGTCAAACCACACAGTATATTCAACGCACAGTGTGCATGACATGGGCTCAAATTTCCCAGGCCAAAGCATGTTGAACATAAAAGCTCACAGACCATGTGTCAGGGAAGTGTTCTCTGCCCCAAGGTAAGGGTTGGGGGAGTGAGCCAATGTTTATTGAACAGGATTCCATTCTGTAGCTCCAAGTTTCTGCAATGAACAGCTAAATGGATGGAGATCTCCTTTATTTGAATAAATAAAGCCAGTGTTAGTGGAACAATGCTGCCTCATGTGTCAATTAGCTTTGGCTGTGTAACAAACTATACCAAAATGCATTAGCTTAAAACTACAAACAGACTAGGCACTGGGGGCTCACACCTGTAATCCTAGCTACTTGGAAGAGTCTGAGATCTAGAAGATCATGGTTGGAGGCCAACCTAGGCAAATAGTTTGTGAGACCCCCATCTCAAAAATAACCAGAGGAAAATGGACTAGAGGTATAGCTCAAGTGGTAGAGTGCCTGCTTTGCAAGAATGAAGCTCTGAGTTCAAACCCCCATACCACCAAACAAATCCCTACAAGCAATTTTATTTCTCCCAATTCATTGTGTCACTAAAGTGGTTCTGGTCTTAGCTAGAATGTCTGCTCTCTACTGGTGTTGCTTCTATATCTGCTTACCTGGAAGCTCAGCTTGTGCTGGGTGGTCTAGGATGGCTTCCATTATATGACTAGGAATTAGCTCAGTGACAGCTGGGGCAATGGGAACCACTTGGCCATTTGTGTCTCAGTGCTGAGAAGGCTAGCAGACTGAAGAGGTTGCAAGGTTCTCAAAAGTAGCAAGAGACAGCAAGACTCACTGTATTGCAAACACTTTTCAAGCATCTGCCTGCATTGTATGTGTTGATGTCCCACTAGCAGAGAAAATCATGAGGCTAAGATCAGAGATAAGAAATTGAAATATAAACAATACAATAAAAAAGAATTTGTGGCCACTTTTACAATCTGCCATGCTTCAGTACAACAGAGATTTACTCTTGATTTATAAACACGAACTCTATGTGCTTTACAAATATCAAATTATTTAATCCTCATGATAATCCCAGGGAGTTGGGACTGTGGTTATTCTCATTTTACAGATGAAAAAACGGAGGCACAAATAGGTTGAGTAACTTGTCCCAGGCCACTCAGCTCATATTGGATTTGAACCAGGAGGACTGGATCCAAATTCTATGTTCTTAATGGCTACACGATATCAACTCTCAGCAGGAAAGTGGAAGATGCAGAGACAACTTCCAACAGTCTGTCTGTGGAAGAATGTTGACCATCACCTCCACAAACCATGAGAAGAACAAAACGCATGTCCAGATGGATCATGTCCCTTCTGAGACTAAATCAAGACAAAACAAGCAACCATCTGGGACCGATGAAGATTTTGTACAAAAGTCTACTGCTTCAATTTGTTTTGTTTTTCCACAGGCTTTTTTAAAATTAGCATGTGTTAATTGAAGAGGGGGGAGGGTTTCAGTGTGACATTCACATATGTGCTTACAATGTATGTTAATTAGATTCCCCCCCTCCTTTTTCATTATTCTAATTCTATACAAACTACATTTACCTTATTTGCCTTCTTTCACCCTCTCCCTTTCATTGGTACCCACCCCTGGATATGACCTGCTTTACCTTTCTGTCCTTCATATTTCAAGTGTATATTGATTGTTCGAGGGGATTTTACCTTGGTATTTCACACATGCATATATTGTCCTTTAATCAGAGTAACACCTCTATTATTTACTTTTTCTCTATTGAGCTGCTCACCCATTATTCAACAGCTTACAGTGAATTTCCTTACACTATCCTCATACACGGATGCAATGTATTCTAATACTACTCATTCTCTATCATTCTCTCTTCCTCTCCCACCTCCCCAAGTTCCCCTCAGACAGACTCACTATTACAATCCTATTATCTCTCTCTCTCATGTACATATATGCATATAATATCACATATGTATTTATATATACATTTATTGTTTTAGGTCTAGCTTCCATATACGAGAGAAAACATGTGACCTTTATCTTTCTGAACCTGGCTTACTTTGCTTGACATGATTTCCAGTTCCATCCATTTACCTGCAAAGAACTTAATTTCATAATTTCACTCTTCCTTGTGGATGAATAATACTCCATTGTGTACATTATACCATATTTTCTTAATGGATTTTCTTAATCCATTCACCTGGGCTGTTTCCAAAGCTTGGCTATTATGAATGGTGCTGTAATAAACATGGGTATGCAAGTGGCGCTATTGAATCCTGGCTTACATTACTTCAGTATACTCCAAGGAGTCACATTACTATATTATATGGTAGTCTATTTTTAGTTTTTTGAGGAACCTCCATCCTGCTTTCCATAGTGGTTGCGCTAATTTACATTCCTACTAACAGTGGGCTCCTCTGTCAAAAATCAGATGGCTGGATCCGTGTGGGTTTGTCCAGGTCTTCTATTCTGTTCCACTGGTCTTCATATCTGTTTTTGTGCCAGTACCATGCTGTTTTTAATATTATGGTTCTGTAGTATAGCTTGAAGTCAGGTATCGTGACACCTCCAGCATTGCTCTTTTTGCTCAGGATTGCTTTGGCTATTCAAGGTCTTTACTTTTAAAAAGATAAAGCATTATAAATAGCTCATATCTTGTTGACTTTTGCTGAATATCTACTAAGTACCCAGAAGAAAACTCTAAATCAATAACCACTTATCTTCCAATTCCTGATGAAAATGAGGTCAGAGAGAACAGGTGTGTCCATAAGTACTGGCTGGTTGGCTGGGCTATAAAAAAACCTAATTTTTCTTCTTCTTTTGTGGCACTGGAGTATTTAGGGGCCTTACACTTGCTAGGCATGCAATCTTACCACTTGAGCCGCTCTGTCGGCCCAAGAACCTAATTCTTAGCTAGATGTGGGTGGTACACACATGCAGTCCCAGCTACTCAGGAGGCAGAAAAAGGAGGATGGTGAGTTTGAGGCCAGCCTGGGAAAAGTAATGAAACCCTATCACAAAAACAAAAAACAAGCCAGGCACAGTGGCTCATGCCTGTAATCCTAACTACTCAGGAAGCAGAGATCAGGAGGATCATGGTTCAAAGCCAACATGGGCAAATAGTTCGTGAGACTCTGTCCTGAAAAAACCCATCATCAAAAAGGGCTGGTGGAGTGGCTCAAAGTGTAGGCCCTGACTTCAAGCCCCAGTACCACAAAAACAAACAAAGACCAGGGGCATGCCCAGCATGCGTGAGGCCCTGGGTTCAATCTCCACTGCTGCAAAATAACAACAAAATTCTTAGGATTTCAGGCCTAAGGCGTTTACTTCTGTGCCATATGTTCCAAAAAAGGAATTTGAAGGAGCTTCGAGACATCCTATAGGGGGATTTCTGGTGTTTCTAAAGAACATAGAGGTTGGTGTATCAGTCATTAGGGCTCATGTTATTTCAGAAGTTCTGATTTCCCAATTTCTCTAACATCATCTCTTGAGTGACTGAACTTTTCCATTTTCTTAAATATCCATTCTTACCAACTGAGCAATATAACTCACCATAATACTTCCAAGTAGTGCTTTAGCAAAGTCTTAATTTTCTATAACTGTTACCCAATGATTAACTGGATTTCCTTAAAATAGCTGCAAAACTGGAATTTATAGTCTTGATCAATTAGAACAGGGGCTATCAAACCTGAGTGTGCATAAAAATCACATAAAGAGCTGGTTAACCCCAGCACTGTTGGCTCACACCTGTAATCATAGCTACTCAGGAGGCAGAGATCAGGAGGATTGAGGTTCAAAGCTAGCCACAGGCAAATAGTTCTGTGAAACCCTATCTTCAAAAACAACCATCACAAAAAAGGGCTGGTGGAGTGGCTCAAGGTGTAGGCCCAATACCACACACACACACAAAAACTGGTTAAAATACAGATTGCTTGTACTCAGCCCCTAAAGATTTGCATTTCTATCAAGTTGCCAAGCAGTGCTGGTGTTGGTGTACTGAGGACCAGGAGCAACTGAATTCAAGTAAACAGAAGAGTCATGGTAAATATACTGCCAGATGGACAAACCACCCACACAAGATTTATGAGCACAATCTTTGTGCTAATTTTGATAATAAAATTGGAAACTACCAAAATGTCCAACAACTAAGACTTTTAAAATAAATTCACATAACACCAAATGAAAAAAGCAAGTTACCTTCATGTTGTGTGTGTTTCAGTGTTTACATGCACACCTGAGTTATACTAACTCAGAATGTTGGGATGAGAAGTAAATTTTGTTTTCCTGTGTACTTTCCTATATTTGATAACTTTTCAATGATCATACAGTAAAAAGTGTATGTAGTAAAAAAAGCACTGATTAAAAATAAGTGTTGTAAGGTGTTTTAAGTACAACAAAGGATGAACAAATAATTGAATTCAGTCAGGGCTGGCATTTCTCTGGTTACCTGCTTACATCTAGCAATACCTACTAGGAGAGTTGCTTGGTATTCAGAATGTGGGCTCTCAGACCAGACTTCCTAAATTTGAATCCTGTGTTTTACCACTTAATGTTTTGTGTCCTTGGGCAAACTTCTTAATCACACTATGTGTTAGTTCTCTTATCTGTGAAATGGGGTAATCACAGTGTCTACACTGTAAGGCTATTGTCAGAATTAAGTGAAATAATAATCTTAATAACCAGTAGCTATTATTATGTTTGGAAAAAATGTACCAGTTGCCTATTACTAACAAAAATACCTAATTTTGGTCTTGCTTTTTTGTCAAGGTCTGGATGTGTGGAGGCCAACTTTTCATAATTCCTTGCTCTCGGGTGGGCCATATCAGTAAGCAGCTTTCTGAGATGAACCCTGAAATCAAGAAAGCTATATCCCATAACTATCTGAGACTGGTGCATGTTTGGCTGGATGAATACAAGGTGAGCAGCACATCTCTGCTGTGGAGCAATGTTTGAGAGCATGGAACAGGGTTTGTTCACAAGACGTCTTCTGTTGCCTTTCCAGCTCTAAATCTTATGCTTTTCTGTTTTCTGTAACTTAATGATGCCCCTTCAACGACTCACTCACTCATCCCCAACCCTATTCTTGTTAATTCTAAGCTGCTATCCTTATATCTCATTTAAAAAGTTTTAATTTCCAGGGAAATTCAAGTTTCTCAGAAATAAATCAGCCAATATGTCCCCCGCCCCAGATCTAATCCTCCCTCCAGGGAATTACTCTTTCTTACTCCCAAAGAAGATGGCCTGTCCCTACCCCATCCCCAGGTGTCTCCCATACACATACACTATCACGATACCAAGTGACATGAATCATGAATGCTGCTGGCCTCTGGACTGCGTACCCCTTTTCTAATAACAGTTAAAGATTTCTATATCAAAGCTTGCTCTTCCATTCATGCATGTCAGTATGGGTTAAGACCATGCCGGGACATCAAGGGTGCATGCACATCACATCCAGATGCCAGGCACAAGGACAGGAGTCCCAAGAAGACCTCACTTTGGACAAATGGACAAAAACATAAGAACCTATATGTCCTGGTCTTTATCTTAGATTTCTGTAATTCTAGTTTTAAAGTATGCAGTGTAGTTTTTGATTAGAGAAATGTCCATTAAAAGCTCATTGAGATGGTGTATATAAACATTACTATGTAGGTTGGCAAACTTTAAAGTCTGACAGGACCAACTGTTAGTAAGCAATAGGGAATGTTGATTATTATAAGCTCACTTTTGAATCAGTTTGGCAGTATCTAGTAAAGTAAGATACAAATGCCCTAAGTCCCGGCAATTCCATTTAGTGAACTCAGTACAGAAAAACATGCTAATGTGTGGCAGGACATAAAAGCAAGGATTTTTATGCACAGCATTGTTTGTGTTAGCCCAAACTGAACACAACCCAAATGTGCAATAAGAGCAGAATGGGTAGCTTTGATAAACTTAGTCACTATAATTCTATACAGCAATGAAAATTCACCAACTGCAGGTATATGTACAGTAGAATGGGTCAATATTAAAGTTGTAATGATGAATGAAAGTAGCCAAATGCAACACAAAATATATACTCTATTATTCCCTTTCTATAGTTAAAATGAGTAGAATTAAATTACATAATTCATGAATGCTGAATTACTTTTCATTGTTGCTTGTTAATACATATGCACACCAGAAAAAAATTTTTGCTTTGTTTGAGACACGGTCTTTTTAGGTCACCCCAGGCTGGCCTCGAACTTGTGACCCTCTTGCCTCAGCCACCTTAGTGTTGGGATCACAGAGTGCATTACCATGCCCAGCTTCTTTTATGTGACTAGATTCATACGATATTTTGTTCTGAAATTTTTTCATCTATCACTGTATTTTGAAAATACATTTCAAAATTACCTTTCAAAATCAGAACATATAAAACTATCTTTCTTTTAAGTAGCCCCTTTGCATGGATCTACAAAAACTGATCCCATTGATAAATGCTCCTTATTGATAAACATTCTGATCATCCTGATTTTTTTAGATTTATCTTTTTTTTTTTTACAGTGCTGTGGTTTGAACTCAGGGCCTCAAACTTGCTAGGCAGACATTCTACAACTTGAGCCATTCCACCAGCTAGATTTCTTAATAATACTGAAATGAACATCTTTCACACATACCTTCTTACACATTTGTGCGACTATATCTTTGGAATAAATCTCCAGACATGAAATTTCTGGGAATTAGTTAATGCATTTTAAATCCCAATGGATAGTACCCAAACTGCCCTTCACTGTCTACACTGTCATCTCTACTGTCATAGAATGTAAAAGGGCCTATCTCCCCACATTGGTTGTAATTCAAGTGTTAAAATGATATCTTATTGTTTTAAATTGCATTTAGTTATGAGAGATCTTGAGCTTATTGTCACATTGTTAATTTTTTATCACTATGAACTCTAGTCATAGATCTTGGCAGTTGAATTGAATATAGCAATTACTAAGTAGTTTACTAAATTTCATAAATGATACGCTGGCAAAAAGTTAATTTAAAAGCATACGATGTTAGGTACAAAATCAGAAGATTATATGACATAACACATTGGGAAATTTGGTAATTTGGTAAGTGGCATGGTAGAAGAGAGGGCTTTGGATCCAGAGATGTTGCCTAAGGACTTCTAGGCCTTCGCTGTCAAATGATGACACCCTCCCCTGACTTTCTGCCCATCCCCTGCACCAATCCACCCTGGGAACTAGGTGGAAGAATACTGTAGCAAAGGCCTACAGTGGTCAAGAATCCTTAGGGAGACTCCAACGTGGCATGCTCATAACACACTAATTTGGATAAGGAAGCTCCCTTTCTCACTTCTATGTGCCAGGCACTGGAGATACACAGATGAAAATACAAGGGTTGTGCTTTCAGAGAGCCCTTGGTCTGCTTATAATGTTTCTTTTAACATGGGACCAAGTAATCTATTTGGCATTTATCTTTAGTACTTAAGTCCAGGTACATAAAAATCCAACCAAGGGTGGTGATAAGGACCAACACAGGCCTGATGCTTGCCACACACTAGCCTTCCTCTCCCAGGGACTTTATGCTAAGTACTCAGTCCTCACAACAGCCTCATGGAACAACTTGCCAAAGGTCACAGGTAATTAATGGAAGAGCCAGTATTGGAACCTAAGCTGTGCCTTCCCAGAGTCTGCTTCCCCTTAACCATCACATCTGCCTCATTCTGAAAAAGTGGAAGAATTAATTGGGACCAGGGGTTGGGTAGTCTTGTACTTGAGTATTGAGAGTGTAGGAGAAAGGGGCCACTACGATGGGGCAGCTGTGATTCTTTGTCTCCTGAGAAGCAGGATACCATCTTTCTGGATTCCACTGTGTCATCTACTATGGTGCCACAGCACACACCATAGCTGTGTGTGGTGAGTAAATCTGAGCTTGCGTGATGGGACTCTGCTCTTGTCCCCCACATAGAAGGTGGTATATTTTTAGTTCAGACGATGAAAATATACACTGCTGTGTTTGACATCATGATCTGATTACCAAAGGTTGGTTTGGTTTAATGAAATGACTCTTTATTTTCATTTAGGAGAAGTTTTTTCTTCGAAATCCTTCTTTGAAATTCATGAGCTATGGAAACATTAGTGAGCGTGTTGAGTTAAGGAAACAATTGGGTTGCAAATCATTTCAGTGGTATTTGGATACTGTCTTCCCAGATCTGAATGACGAAAGGGAACAAGATCATATTTATTTATAAAGGGTGAGAAAGTCCCCCAAGTCCTTCAACATAGTAGCACCAGAAGACAAGTTTGGAGCATCATGGAATTAAGTGAAATGCAATGAGAAATATGCTAAGTGTGGCTTATATCTCTGGAGTGCCTTTCCCCCTTTTCCAACCCAATTTCTACTCTAACCCGATGAGCTATCGAGGATGCCCCAGGAAGACATTCACAGAAAGCCATGATTGGTGCACACTGACTTGGACCAAGCTCCTTTCTTGCTGTCAATATAGATTCTGGGGATGCCTCCTTGCTCAGTTAAGTTGCTGAGCATCTGATGTCCAATTTAATTGCTTGGGCATCTTGGTTAAGTTTTCCAGGGAGGCTTGCCAGTTTGTTCCTGTGGCTCTTCTGTCCTTCCAAGCCACTTCCTCCTTTCTGCTTCTGATTTTGGCTTTTCCTATCTGAGCTGTTCTATGGCTCTGGCCCAAGCTCTCCTGACACTTCCCATGTTGTACCCTGTTGTCTTCCTATGCTCTGACTCTTGACTGTTAGGCTAGGGCTGGGGGAGAAGCACAGGGTGCCCTGTCTGCATGAACAGATTCCCAGAGTCTTCAGACCTGGAATCACCCATTTCTCTGCAGATACCTGGCTTTTTTCAGTAAGAAATGGTGTTTGGAGACAACACATTGAACATAAGGGTGTGCTCTTATGTTGGCCTTGTTTGCAGGTCTCTCATTGGACAGCCAGGAGAAAATACATTTAACATTTTAGCACAAAAGACTGAGTTCACACTTTCAATCAAATTCAATGCCTAGAGGGCTGGGAGTGTAGCTCAGTGGTAGAGTGCCTGCCTAGCACAGGCAAGGCCCTGGCCCTGGATTCCATCCCCAGCACTACACACATACACGCAAAAATCAATGGCCTGGGATTGTTAACCTGATTGGTTTCATGTATGTGTGTCTTCTTTCTCTCATGCCATAGATCTAGGTTCCCAGTAACACTTTTCTCCCCGACTTATGATCACACTTGTAAGTCACAGAGGGTGTTAGTGACAGCTCATGAAGAAGCTCCAGCCAGGGTGGTGCTACTGTGCTGTGCTGCAGAGGAGCAAGGGTTCCCAAGGGAGGAGTTGGAGCTGACAGGACCAGCTGGGTTGGGTGAACAACCTGAAGTTTGAAGTCACAACAGACTGTCAGGGGGCAGGGGGAGTCCTGATTCAGCAGTGCCCATGGGATGGGGGTTTGTGTAAGAGACCACATGAGGTTCAGAAGGGAGTGAGGAGTAAGGCATTTCTGGCTTGGCAGGGGGCTGAGGTTGGTACCTTTCACACTGGAGAGGGGTCCTCACTACTTTCATCCACTGAGTCACAAAAATAACTAAGGTTTGTTCTGTAACCAGTGCATGCTTCCGGAAATTTATTCTAAGACACATCTATGTGGAATCACAATAGCTATCACTGAGTTCTCACAATATTTCAGGCCTCTAGTAAGTACTCTGCATTATTCATTTTGCCAAAACAACCTTACTACTTTACAAGTCCTATTATCACCATTTCACAGTTAAGAAAACTCAGGTTAGAATTTGCCCAGGGTTAGAGTTGTCAGATTTAGTCAATAAAAATATAAGATGTAGCTGGGAGCCAGTGGCTCACACCTGTAATCCTAGCTACTTGGGAGGCTGAGATAAGGAGGATTGTTGTTTGAGGCCAGCTCTGGAAAATAGTTTGAGAGACCCTGGATCTCCAAAATAACCAAAGAAAAAGGGACTGGAGGTGTGGCTCAAGTGATGGAGCACCTGCTTTGCATACAGGAAGCTCTGAGTTCAAATCCCAGTTCCATAAAAATACAAAATGTTGGGTTAAATTTGAGTTTCAAATAAACTTATTGTTTAATGAGTAATAGCATAAGTACAGCTATAGTTTAAATGTGTCTTCTCCAAAATTTATGTTGACTCTTAATTGCTAGTATATTAGTGAAACCGGAGTTTTGGACCCAAGGCCCAAACTCCATCTCATTCCTGACATGAGATTCCATGCCAGGTCCCATCACCTGCCCCTAAACACCAAACAAAGAGGCATGGTGAAGGCAGAGAAAGATTTATTACATGACTCATGACATGCCATGGGAAGAGGCAGAGTAAGCACTCAGCTCATCTTCAGCCATCTTTGGGGTACAGACATGAGCTATAGGTTTAAGTAGACAAAAGAACTGGGGGGCAGGGGATAAAGGTATGCATAGTTAAACAATCCCAGCCATAGGTGTGTTCTGGATGACCATTACCTCAGTCCAAGGGTTCCCAGAGGGGTTCTGGAGAAGGTTATCACTGTCATCACTTGAGGGGAACAATCTGGTTCCCGTGAGATGATTGCTCCTGCTCCGGGATGCAGCCTCATCATTACACGTAAGTGTCCTCATTTGGAGGGGTGGTCTGTCCTGCATGTTCCACTGTTCCTTATGGGAAGTTTCAGTCCCTTGTCATAAAGATGTTATCAGTACTGTCCTTTCTGGAATCCAAGGTGATTGTAAAGTGATTGTAAAGAGAATGGCTCAGAGCAAAGACAGATACAAAATGGAGACAGATGCCAAGCTTTTCCTGTTTTTAGTTATTTTGCGGGCTCAAGTAAGGAGTCAGTACTTTTCAGCAAAAGCAACTTGAGCATCTCTTACATTACTATTACTAGTTGGGGTCTTCAAGAGGTAATTACGGCATAAAGTGGAGCTCCCATGAGTAGGATGAAGTGTCCTTATAAAAGGCTGGTCATCCTCTTTTGCCTTTCCGGTTTCTGTCACATGAGGCCACAGTGTTCCTTCTCTCCAGAGGTTGCACTATCCCAGGTGCCATAATGGAAGTAGAAAGCATCTCTCACCAGACAACCAAACTTGTCAGCCCTTTTAATCTTGAGCCTCACAGCACCAGAATTTGAGAAAATTTCTCTTATTTTTAAATTGGCAAGTCTCAGATACAAACAATAGAAGCAGACTAAGACAGGTATATTCAGATATTGCATAGGACATACTTATGCCGCAAAATTATTCTTTATTTGAAATTCAAATTTCAGGACAGCCTATTTGAAACATCAAATTTCATCTGGTGACTGTATCCAGGGTCAAAAAAAACAACACAGCCCATATTCTAGTCAGCCTGGTCTCAAAGATTCTGTTATCCACAGTGATAAATGGTAAAGATCATTTCAGGGTTATTCTTCACAACAGTGAAAAACTGGAGCTAATCCAGATCTTCACTTACAATAATGCAATTCTTTTTCTGGATAGTACTGGGGTTTGAACTCAGGATCTCATGCTTAGTAGGCAGGCACTCTACCAGCCCCGGCTCTTCAATCTCTAATGGGTGACAATTGAACATGTGGTGGGATGGGTGTTTAAAATACTAGCAATAAATATCCACTTCATACAGGTCAGATTGGCAAACATTTAAATATGTGGCACTACCAAGTGAAGAGACACAGGAAGGAGAAGCAATGGAAACTTACAGGCACTGATTGTACTGAAGAGCTTGTGTGTGTGTGTGTACTGGGTGGTTAAGCCCAGGGCTTTGAGCATGCTAGGCAAGCACTTTTCATTTGAGCCATGTCCCAGCCCTTTTGTTTTTATTTTTTGTAGGGTTTTGCTAGCTTTGCCTGGGCTAGCCTTGAATTCAAAATCAACCTGCCTTCACCTCCCGAATAGCTGGGATTACAGGTGCCTGCAACATACCCATTTTAGAGCATGGTTTAAAATTTAATGTGTATATAAATCTCCTGGAGCTTTGGGTAAAATTCAGATTTAAGTAAGTTTGGGGTGGAGTCTAAGATTTATCACTTCTCAGAAGAACTCAAGTGATATGGATGTAGTTTGTCATGAGATCACTTTTGGATCAGCAAGGCCCTACAGCTCTGGTCTTTAAACTCTAAAATATATATATATGTATATATATATATTTTTTGGTGTCACAGGTTTGAACTCAGGGCTTCACGCTTGCAAAGTAGGTGCTCCACCACTGGGGCTGCACCTCCAGTCCATTTTCTTCTGGTTATTTTGGAGATGGGGGGGTCTCCTGAACTATTTGCCTAGGCTGGTCTTGAATCTTGATCCTCCCAATCTCAGCCTCTCAAGTAGCTAGGTTCACAGCCGTGAGCTACCAGTGCCTAATAATTTTAAAAATCAAAATCTTTGTACTATACATGTTTAAGTGGACATTAAAAATTTTAATTGTAAGTTTAGGTAGCTGGATGGATATAATTTCTGGCATATCGCATTTGCATATTTAAATACATGTTACATCACTTTTTTTTTGCGGTACTGGGCTTGAACACTGGGCCTTCACCTTGAGCCACTCCACCAACCCTATTTTTGTGCAGGGTTTTTGAGATAGGGTCTTGGGGAACTATTTGCTGGGGCTAGATCCTCCTGATCTCTGCCTTCTGAATAGCTAGGATTACAGTCATGAGCCACTGGCATCTGGCCATGTTACATCACTTTTAAATATACCCAATAGACAAATGAGCCTGTGAGGGACATGTCATAGTGAAAACATTACAGCCTGTTAATGCACAAGAAGGGTGGGATCAGCCAGGCCCTGGTGGCTCATGCCTGTAGTCTGTACTTGAGAGGCTGAGATGGGGAGGATTGTAGTCTGAGGCCAGCCTGGGGAAATAGTTCATGAGACCCCCATCTTCAAAAATAACCAGACCAAAATGAACTGGAGGTGTGGCTCAAGCAGTAGAGTGGCTGCTTTGCTGGGTGGTGTGGTTAAAGCCATTCAGTTTAAGTTCACTGTGATTTGGTTCAGGTGCTGCTCTTTTTTTCCTTTTCCTCTGATTTCTAATTTAGAAGGGATGCAGAATTTCCTCCCTTCTGCAACAGGTGCTTAAAAGCTGCTTTTGCTGAGGAGGGAGCAGTGACTCCTTACTTAGGCTCACAAGTTAACTAAAGACAGGAGAAAAGCTTGGTACCTCTGTCTCCATTTTGAATCTGTTACTGCTCCGAGCTATTCTCCGAGTCTACAGAGAGCTATTCTCTCTGTAGTCACTTTGCAATCACCTTGGAATCCAGGAAGAACAGGATTGATAACATCTTTATAGTACGAGGTGGAAGTTACTAACCCCACCCCCAAAGGAACAGAAGAACCTCCTCAAGACAGACCACCTTGCTGCAGGCTGGCTCAAATGATACAGTACCTGCTTTTCAAGTGTGAAGCCATAAGTTCAAACCCCGTACCATCATAAAAACAAAAACACCACCAATCCACCAGCCAGGCGTCAATGACTGTTACTGTAATAGCAAGGCCTCACTTGTAACAAGTCCTGAGGCCAATGAGCTGCCAGCCAGCTAGACCACCGGTGACCACTGGAACCAGCTGCGAGAGGACGGCTTGACAATTATGCACGCCTCTCCCTTTACCTCCAATTCCTCCTCCTATTTAAACCTGAAGCAAACGTCTGTTGGGGAAAGATGGTTTAAGTGCTTTCTTCCCACGGCTGCTTGTGCGTGTAGGACATTCCTTTCCCTGTCCCTCACTTACTCCTCCCTTTATTGGGCATGTTGGGGGGGGTGGTCAGACCAGACGCGTGGAACACAGGAATTTGGGTGTGAGGTCTAAAATCCCCTATATTGCTTCCTACACGGGCTTGGTCCCCCTAGAAAGGAAACATATAAATTCTTGACCGATGGCGTTTATTTCAGAGGTGCCACAGTTAAATATTAAGACATTCATCAACGTCATTTGGCATTACTGGGTCAAAGTAGCACGCCCTTACCATTTTGTCAGGCGTTGCCAAATTCCCTCTAGAGGGCTGCGAGCCTTCGTTCCCTGTTCCCATTTTCTTCCACATTTCTCTTTATTAGAAAAGCCCTAAGCCGGCGGGCGACAAACCTCAACCGCAGGGCTGGGAGTGGCGCCGCGCGAAGGCCGCGTGACGTCAGGGCGTCGGCCGGCGACGACGTCATCACCAGGGGCGGCGCCGCCCGTGACGTGGCGCCAGCAGGGGGCGGCGGCGCGCGCGGACTGGGCTTCTGCGCCCTCCTCCGCGCGCCACGCTCCACCGCTCGGCCGCGTTAGGCCGGCCGCTCCGCTCGCGCGCCGCGGCTCGGCCCGGGCTGTGGCGGGAGGGAAGATGCCACAGCCCGCGCCCCGGAAGGCCGCCATCCTGGGCTGCGGGCGTCGCGGTGAGTAGCCGGCCGGCGGGCGGCACTGCCCGCGTCTCCCCGCGGGGCTCCGGGCCTGCGCGGCCGTGCAGGGCGGGGTGCGGGGTCCGGGCGGTTCACGGAGCCGGGCCTCCCGCAGCGCTTTTGCCGGGGGCCGAGCGTTCAAGTCCTTGAAGAAAACAAACACTGCCCGGAAACGACAGGAAACGTTTCGAACTCAGGCGGACTTTCCCACGACCTCGTTCCTCTGAAAAACAAACAACTTTGATGATTGTTAGGATTGGTTGGCCAGATCCACATGTGTGACGCTTGGTCAGTAGGCTTCTCGTGTCTCTTTTTCCTTTGCAGTGTGTTGTGGAAAGAATTGGGGCATTTGTCTTGCGTAATTCCTGTACACCTGAAATTCATGCCGTCGGATAAGTTAAAAATATCACCCCCCCCAATTCTGATTTTTACCCCTTGAGGAATATTAATATGCTCGTTATGGGCTGGCTTTGTTTTATCATCAGAGATTTTGGTCTGGTGTTTTTTACTTAGGGAAACAGTCATGTATGGTTGGTTGGTTTTTCAAATATACAAAGGTGTAATCGTGAAGGCGCTGTTCATACCACCAAAATATTCTGTTACTCCTCCCAAACACAAGCTTAGGCCAGACTTGACTTGTATTTTTATTTATTTTTTTGCCTTTTACCACATATGCTCTGTACTAACATCTACCTTTCTTTAAGAAAAATAGGAAATAGAAAAGTGCTTTCTACCCGCAGTATTTTTCAGTTGAGCTTTACAAGTGAAATGTCATGAAACAGTCCACACTTCTCTTGACAGTTTCTGTGCTGTTCCTTGCAATTTCACTTCTCTGAAAAATTTCTGTGCTGTTTCTTGCAAAAAGTTCTGTAAAAGGTGCTAAACTGCTTTTGCTGAAAAGCACTGACTTCTTAACTTGGGCCCACAAATTAACTAAACACAGAAAAGCTTGGCATCCCTGCCTCCATTTTGTATCTGTCTTTGAGTCATTTACCTTACACTCACCTTGGAATCCAGGAAGAACAGACTTATCCATAATAAGGAGGAATGGAGGCAACTGCACCAAAGGACAGGGACATCAGAGCCTCCTCAGGACAAGTGATAACTTCTGCATAACCTCTCCCAAAACAAGAACTGAGATAATGACCCACTAAAACACACCTGGGACCGGGGATGTTTAACTATGCATACCTTCTGTCCCCTGTCCTAATCTTTGTCTATTTAAAGCTAAAACTCAGGTCTGTACCCCAAAGATGGCTGAAGATGGTTTGCGTGCTTACTTTGGCCTCTCCCCAGCCAGTGTGATAAATCTACTTTCTCTGCCTTATTAGTTGTGTAGGGTTGAGTTAGGAGGACCTGACATGAGGAAACCAAGGAGTTTGGGTCTAGGGCCCAAAAGTGTGGTTTCATCTTTACTTCACTTTTTCATCTTTTATTGTGAAGTATGTACCTAGCATGAAGTTTATTATTTAACTAGTTTTAAGTGTATTCACAATGTTGTATCATTATCACTACTATTCATTTCCAAAACTTTTTCATCACTCTGGCTCCTTTCTCTTACGAATTTTCCTATTCTAGCTACCTCATTGTAAGTAGAACCACAGTATTTGCCCATTTTTGTATATGTTTACGGGTATCTGTTTGACACTTTCCATTTTTTGGAGTGTATTAGTGGTATACTGGGGTTTGATCTTAGGGCTTTGCACTTGCAAGACGGACACTTTAGCCCTTGAGCCACATCCCTCAGCAAAAGGGTTCACATTTGAAAAAACTGCTTTCTTAAAGACCTTCATACCCTCTCAGTTGCTAAATCTAACCGCTCTACTTGCCCTTCATCAGTCTTTGGGCACCTCATTGTTGCCTGTCTGCGAGCCCTCTTGGTGTTCTCTGTAGTGGTCCTTATAGACTCTCTCCCCAAAATCCCTATATGTGCCTGTCTTCAGAGGTTCAGTATTTGCTCCCTATAGCCATTTTGCCATCTTCACCACTTAAACCCCCCTCTGCTATTATTTCCATATAACTTAAACTATAATTTTGATGTTTACTTTAAACTTCTCTGTGAGGCCTGGATTTGAATGTGAAGGCATCTTCCTATCACTGTTGTCTTGAGTGGAACATGGCTAAAATAGATTTCGTCCGTTAATGCTCCTGAATCTGTTCTGTGCCTGTTTCCTCATTAAGAATTGGAAGCGTGGTGTGGTGGTCTTGCCCCTTTCTCCCTTAGGGGCCCATGTCCTTTAAGTGACTAGTACAGATAGTTCTGTCTCTGCTCTTTCCCACTAACTTACTGGAGTTTGTTCCACTGGACTTCTTGATTTTAACCCCACCCCCAAACTATTTTATACACTGTTGCTAGGATCTTCCTGAGTTAGATTTGATTAAAGATAGTACTTAGCTCTCTTTTGCAAGCAGAGCTCAGCATCAGAGCCCAGCCTGTCTTCTGTAATTAATCACCTTCCACTAACCTTATCCTTCCCTCTGTGTATTTATCTGTATTCATGTTACAAGCACCCATTCTACTTACTATTCTCTTTGGGAAACTAAAAACATACCTGTACTTTCCTAGGAGTTGAACTTTCTGCTTGAAATGTTTCAGTATTTGACCATTGGAATCTTAGGGCTTTTTTTTTAAATTTATTTTATTGTGTTGGATGGGGGTACATTGGAGTATTTACAAAGGTTCTTAAAATGTATCAAATATATCATACTTGAATTCACCCCCTCCACTGCTCTCTTTCATATCTCCTCCTGGGATCTCAGTTTTAAAAGCCAAACTTAAATTACAATTTGTGTAAGAAATCTTCAAGTGTTTCAGAAAAAATTAACTTCTCCTTATCCTTTTTTCCACATAGCTTACTTATCTTTATTACAGAACTTTTGAGAATTTGCTGTATGATATGCCCAAGTCTTTTCATCTGCTTTATTATTTCTTTAGGGTTTTTTTTTTTTTTTTTTTTTTTTTTTGCCTTAGGAAAAAAATGATACTACTGACCAGAGAATATGGTGGTTTCTAAGGTGCCTGTGGCATTGTCAGACTGCTTTTTAAAAAAGACCTTGCAGTTTGTAATTTCATCACTTACAAATGTACTATTTAACTGTCTACCTCCATGGCTCCATGGGTGCAGTGAGTGTAGTCATAGAACATAAGATGATACCACTGAGTGATACTGTAGCTATCTTGGCTTAAGTACAGTCTATGATGTTCCATGACAAAACATTTCAAGCATATTGTTGTCCTTCAGCAACACATGGCTGTATTTTAAACTTTAAATTTGAGTTAGAAAATAGAATAATTTTTGTTTGTGTATCTTTGCTATTTATTGACAATAAATAGCAAATAGGAAATAGACTTTTCCTTATGTATTTACATGTATGTTTCTTTTGGAAATAGTTTTTTTCATGTACTCAATCCATTATTTATGTAATCCATGCCATATTTGCTGTATATTTTTGTATTTTGTCTTTCTTTTGGGGAGAGTTGGTATTGGGGATTGAACTCAGGGCCTTGTGCTTGCTCAGCAAGCACTGTACCACTTGAGCCCTGCCGCCAACCTTTTTTGCTTTCATTATTTTTTTTAGGTAGGGTCTTGCTTTTGCCTGGGGCTGCCTTGGACCATGATCCTCCTACCTGTGCCCCCCTCCTCCAAGTGGGTGGGATTACAGGTGTGTACCAATGTACCTGAGGTAGGTCTTGATAACTTCCTCCCCCCACCTTCCTGGCTTGACCTTGAGCCTCTGTCTATCTCCTTTTCCCATTCTCTGGAATTACAGGCATGAGTCACCACACCTGGTATGGAACTTTTAAAACCTTATATTATGGGAACTAAAAGTTTTTGTCGCTTTAAAAAAAATTAAGTATTTTATTTTACAACAATTATAGAGTCACATGCAGTTGTAAGAAATGATATAGGAACTCTTATGTACCCTTTACTTAGTTCTGCTCATTGGTAATATCTTGCAAAACTATAGCATAACATTATAGCCAGGGTATTGACACTGATACAGTTAAGATGGGGGAACAATTCCATCATCACAAGGATCCCACATTTACCTTTATTGGTCCCCTGGCCCCGTTTGTCCCCAGACAATCACTAATCTGTTTTTCATGTGTAATTTTTGTCCATTTAAGAATGCTATATGAACCCAATTATACAGTATGTAATTGTCAGGATTGGGCCTTTTCATTCAGTCTAATTCCCTTGATTCATCCAAGTTGTTGCATTTAGTAGTTGGGAAGAGGCTGATTTTAGAATCCTAGTTCCAGCATCACAGAATAGAACAGGAGTTCTCAAACCTGGCACTGTTGATAATTTTGTGCCATACAGTTGTTTGTTGTTGAGGACTGACCTGTGCATTGTAGGATGTGCATCATCCCTGGCCTTTACACCCTCTTCCCCTCTGTGTGACAACCAACAGTGTTTCCAGACATTGCTCAGAGTTCTCAGAGGTTGTCAAATATATCAGTCCCTAGCTGAGAACCACTGGAGTGGAGTACGGAAAGTAGACCTGGAGCTAAAAGACTGTAACATCAACTCTGGCACAATACATCCTTCTGACTACTTTGTACCTATGCATACCCTTCTACACATATTTCCATTTGAGCATTCTGTGATCCAAAGTGAAACTTACTTTATGTTCTATGGAAGAATTAGAAGTGAGGAAAAAATAGTTAACCCATACAAATACATGCACAGAACCCACAAGGATGGATGGGAAACTGTCTTTTGACTCCACAGACAGTAGTTGGCTGAAGACTAAATTGTGTGCACATGTTACAACTCCTAGAAACCAATACATGTATGGAGCCTAATGCCTTAACATAAGCAGCAGGGTTAAAGGAATAACTATTGGGTTAGAGATTTTTTTCTTTTAGAAAATACTTTATTTTGAAAAATTTTAGACATAAAAATGAAGATTTTTCAAACCTGTTAGTCAATCTTTTCATCTATAACCCTTCATCTTATATCCCTGTTGGTTAAACAAATCTTAAATATAGGATTAGATGATTTTTAGCAGTATGAAGCGGTCTCAAGCCAGGTGTGCTGGCACATGCTGTAATCCCAGCACTAGGGAGATGAGGGCAGGAAGATTATGAGTTGGAGGCCAGCCTGGGCCACATAATGAGACCCTGCCTAAAAAACAAACAAACAAACAAAAAACCACAAGAAAACAGTCTCCATTCTGACCTCCCATTCTTAACAAACTTAATTTTAGAATACCTTTAGATAGACAGTCTTATAATTCCAAAGGCCAGAGTTCTGAAGTGGGTGGGCTTCAGTGAACTAAAC